GAAGCGCAAATAGTCAAGATAAATGAGTTTGTGACCTGTCAAGTCAGAAAGTCCCCGTTCGTCGTCTAAGCGAATCCACTCGGTTGTACATCTGTCACATTGGTATAGTCTATTTCTGATCTGCGTCTCGCCCAGTTGCCACTACTGGCTTGGTGGCGTGCAATTCCCCGTCTCACTTTTTGCTCTCTCGATCCTTACGTACCCCATTTCGATTCTTTGATTTCGTGGTTTTTTCTCTAATCGGATCGTCCCCGCTCTACCCGAGGGTAATTGACGTCGTTTACATCGTTTCTTAAGGCGTATCCTACGTTCTCAAAGGGGCTCGTTTCAGTTTATGGCCTCAATCCAATCCCTCCAGGAGTTGAGAGGGGCGACATCCCTTGCTTTCAACGGCTCTCACACACTCTTTCTCATGGGTTTTTATGTTTTATGTTTTTATTTTATTTTATTTTTTCAGAAAAGGAGACATGTAAAGACGTCACACGGGAATAGTGCTGATGCTGTTGTGGTACCGTGGTTCCTGACGATATAGTCGCAAACGGAACTCTTTGTTGAGTTGCCGACTATACGCCCACCATGCCAATTACTGCGAAACTTGAAGAGAGGACAAACCATCTCGGATCGATAGTGCTGGCCCATATGTTTGGGTGACGAAAATCCCCAATGATCGCCACGGTGGTAGGATCATCCTGCGAGCAAATAGCTTCCCTGTTCCAGGTCTATGGGGCAGCATCGGTCTGTCATTGACGCCACCTGGGGCCCGATCGAACTACTAGCACGGACGGATCGTCCAGCAACGTTTTTTTTATTTTATTTTTATTTAATTTTGATTTTCATAATTTCCTATTATTTCCTTTCTTTTTCTTCCGCCCCTGCGATGTCCTTTACCTTTTCGGCTAGGAATGATTCCACTAGCCTTGCTTGCTGGGTGCCCAACTGGGGCTGTCTTCCCTGTCTCGGCCCTTGGGAGCTGTGGAATCCAATCCTGGCATGGTGGAATGGCACTACTTAAGATTCAACTCTATCTCTCAATCTATCAAGAACGAGGTCGGCTCTTTATTCGACAATGTTCGGGTCGCCGCATTCAGGATCTAGACAGGATGCTCCCGACTATGTAGGGTCGTGACAGGTCCAGATGTCCATAGAACTTTTTTCTTTTTTTTAAAGAAAGGACCTTTCCCTGCGCTGCATCTACCCTGGATGTAGGTTGATATCTCATTTTATTTTCTCACTGTCTCAATCCTCCATTCATTTCCTGTACATACAGTCGTACGCACATACTGATTAGACTTTGACCAATCCCACCTGATTCTTTCTCTTCTGTCTTCCTTCTCTTTTGTTTTTGATACCCCAGTGCTATTTCTTCTGTTGACCGACGTCATTCCTTTCATACCCTGTCTAGAGGTGCTGATCTCTCACGATCAGGGTGGACCAGGCAATCGGGCCCTTGAATCACACCACGAATCTTTCCTTGTCGACTCGCCCTGACATTTCATATGTCTCCTGATCGGGTTTGAGGTCATATATGGCTGAGATCCAGTCGATCGCCTTATGTTATATCAGGCCAACCGACAAGAACACTCAGTCGCACCGAGCCCAATAGTGCCAACCTGCCGTCCGGGTCCTCAGTTGTCCAGACGAGGTCATTCCAGCATGTCGAACATACCAGGCGGCGATGTTCCCCCTCTCGAATTGTCGAATATTCAGAGCAGGAGCGAGCAATTTCCCGATCTTGTACAGTTCTTCCAAGCACAGGATGATTTGTCGACCACATCGTCGCAATCTAGTGGCGCGCGCGATATCTTTAAAGCGGGCCAACGACGCCTGCGGCAGCTCGCCCAGCGTCCCAAAAAGGGAACAGACGCTCAAGCCAAAGCGGATGATGCGACTCGCCAGCTACTAGCGCTTCAGCAGGCAGGCTTCCTGCCTGCCTCTCTACCTCCCCGAAAGCCCAAGAAATCCGCTCCTAAGCAAAGTATTGACTCCACAGTATCCTCTAACCGATGCCCTTCCAATCTCAGCTTTCAATCGAGCTCCAGAAGAGACGTGGAAAGCATTGGACAGCCATGGCTGGAAGGTTCGCTTGAGGGCTTTGATGCATGTGAAACGAAAGGAGGTCGTTTCTCTTCGCTTGATCTGCGAGATATCACGTCCCTGCTTGGCGCTGCATTGCCTCGTCCTCCTCAATTCGAGGACGTGACCCCTCCACCATATCAGGCATCAACCCAATCGACTGATTTACAAGAAAACTCTTCCTATCCCTCAACTCGCCATATTTCAAATTCTAAGACTAGCGATCCTCTGGATGAGATAGAAGCCTTACCAAAGGTTCCAGAAATACCGGATCGAACGAGCAGTCATCACCCCAGAATGTCGACCAGTACTTTAGACAGCAAGCAACAGGTAGGCTGGAGTCATTTAGACTAGATACTATACATGATACTAACTGCCAAAAGTTGAGTCATGAGCAACCAGCGGACGCGAAGCCAACAGGGCCCAAAGATGCCCCCCAAGCAGCGGACGGCGAATCATCATCTAGTACACCAAACATCAGACAGACCCATTCGAACCCGGTAGCACATTCACTGAAGCTTTTCCCTGACACTGTGCCTACTCGGATGCCTAATAAAGGAGCCTGGCGCATATCGAATGGTTGCCCATCCCCTTCCATTAGGTCCTTACCAGCCACAACGCAGCAAGACTCTTCGAGTGTTAGCGCTCAACCGAGTGATAGGAACGCTAAACTTTCATCTAGCACCAAAGATCGTGACGCCAGCCCTGAAAACATGGAATGTGTGGGTCAAATGCCTTCAGCACAACAGACAGATGCAAGCAAAAACAGGGTGACAAGCCAGGGACATGAAAAAATGCCTCTGGCTAAAAGCGGCCCTCGTCCGACATCCTTGCCCATGGGCTCAATTGATGCATTCCCTCTACCAGCACCTATGAGACCTCTCCCTGCGCTACCGGAAGCAACTTCAGGGGTTCGTCCTCTTTACGGACAAGACGCTACTGCCGGCAGAAGAGGTCTTCGTGTCAACCAACAACAATGTGATCCTCAGTTACCATCACGTTCTACAGAAGAAAGATCCATGGGCAGTGCTACGAGGAGAGAGAATCATGGGTCAATGACTGGTCGGGCTGCACCAAGTGCCAGCCAACCTGATACATCAACGGACCGAGGAAACAAATCTTCTAGGGCAGACGCATCGAATTCCACGCCTGTCACATCTGTGAGAGCCGGCCCAAGCCGAGCTGATAGGGTTCGTGCACTCAAGAAGAAAGATATATCAGCGAGTCGAATTTATTTGCAAGATTCGGACAACCGCCCTCTGGAAGAAGGTCGACGGTCTCTTTCAAGGCTTTCTCATATGGCCTCCTCCGAAGGGTATGATGAGACGCCAACTGCTTCACGCTGCACCGATGTGAGAGTTGGGAGTCAATATGAAAGGGAATCTGCGGATATCCAATTGTCTACTATTTCCTCTCATGGTACAATTTTTCCTGGACAATCCACAGAATCCCATGCTATTAGCACAAAGGATGGCAGCCCACACGGGTACGTTAACGCCACATCATCGGACATCCAGGAACCGTCATCACTGCCTGCATCAAAAAGAAATTCTCAGATCCGTCCAAGCGGTGGGACACGAAGCACAAGTGTTCTCAGCGAAAGGGTAACCAATGATCTGAATCTTCACGAGCGCTCTGAGACCCCTCTTCCATCTTCTGAAGATGAAGGTATGGATGTTGGTATGCGCAAGCAACAGACACACCCCATTTCCAGTAGGCGGCGGCGACCTAAGTTGGCGCCTATGAACGTTGATGAATCTGCCACACGCAAAACACATCATACGAGAAAGTCATCGTCATACGACTACTCCAGGCCCATAACCCCCCGAAACCGCAGAAGCCGTGTCCTGGACAAAGCTTCCCCACAATCACCACCTTTGCAGGGTAGCCATTACTATCACGAACCGCGAGGCGGTCGTCATCGGCCTTCTTACGTTCGGGAGCTGGAAAAGCGCATTACGCATCTCGAGCACCAAAACCGAACACTTCAAGCTGCTCTTCTTGCGGCTTTAGGGGTGGGGGGTAAACGGAACGTAGAAGGTCCTCTCGGTGGATCATCCACCTCACTCTCCACTCCCCATACTAGTAGATCTTTCTCATCTATGACGAACTCTTCATCCAGCCCGGATTCCCATGTCATGCGGAATGAGCGGCGTACGCACAGACGTCAGCCTCCATACCGTCCGGAGACCTGGATTGCTAGCCCAGACTCCAGCCGACGCAGTAGCTACGGTTCGGAAGCAAGTGCTGATATCCGGGAGATGGAAAATATGATTGAGGACTTCGATTTTGGCTGGGAGTCAGATCAACCGAGTTCTGAAAGAACACAGCTCAGGAGTAGGGCCTGATGTGCTTCCCTATGAATTACTGGGAGGCATCTTGATATTTCCTTTAATTTTGGTGTTTCTGGGTGGTCGCTCTCTTTTATTTCCCCCTCTTTATCTGCATATGACCTTAGGGCTCTGTAGTCGTTCTTTAACCCCCTCTTCTATTTGCATGACTCCCCCTCCTGTTCTATCTTCGACGATACCATTTTGCTTTGTGTGTTTTGTGTGACTATTTACTGTGAAATCGGATGCAATTTCAGGCCGTTAAGCCTTCTATCCAGTTATATCGAAGTTATATCTATCTATCTTTGTACTAAAGTAAGGGAAAGGGAGGTAATCTGATGCCTGATCAGGGCATGGGATTGCTTAGTCATCCGGTCCGCGATCCGGTCGGCGTTCATGCAAGATCGTCAACAAAATGCCAAACAGCTTCAATCTTTCACATTCCACAGACATTAGCGTGTGCGAGCGAGGAAACGACAGTGGAGCACAAGATTATAAGCTTTCAACTTCTATTATGAGCAAAGTTTAATTCTTCAACGCGGTCATATATCTCTGCACCCACCTCATATCTCATCTCGAATTGTCCCGTACTCCAACATGGCGCATACAACACCGGTAGGCGCTCCTTTTCTTCTCTCTCTGCCTTTCAACAGGAACAACAGTCAGATATTGACTAATGCAATCAGTCTTCGCAGATTCCGCAACACGTCACTTCCCTCCTTTCACATCTAACATCGCGTCCGGGAGTTCAGTCCACCTTCATCCTTTCGCGCAAAGATGGGTCCATAATTCAGAGCACGGGGCTGCTGGCGACGAAGCCAGCGGGCAACAGCAGTCCAGATGTCTCTCAGGCCGATCCAGCTGCCGAGGAGCAGTCGGAATCTACTTTGACCCCTGCAGAATCATCCATCCCTTCCACAACGTCTAGCACAACTACCCTTACCCATCAAACCTCCTACCAACCGTCCCAGGCGGAAGCGCTAGCAGCTCGCATTTTTGCTTTTGTTTCCAGCGCTGCGGATCTAAGCTTGTCGCTCTCACGACCCCTGAATGAAAACGCCCACGGCTCTAAAACAGATCCGAACGGCTTGCAAGAAGGGTTAGGCAATGGAATATTCCGGGACGATGGAGACGGAGAGGCATCGGAGAAGGAGGACGACGATGAAGTCAAGCTCCTGCGGCTGAGAACTAAAAAGCATGAGATTGTTGTTGTTCCGGATAAGAAGTATCTGCTTTGTGTGGTACATGATGCGGCGCACCCGACGGGGAACCCGAGTGCCGGGTTGCGCTCGCGGTAATGGATGATGATGATGATATTATTCGCTTTGGACTTCTTTTTTTTACTCTGTTATTTTAATGTGTTCTTATTTGGACATATCTCGGTTTGCATGGAATATACCCGGTTGGAAGCAGGGAGCTCGTCTGTTCGCATGTTGTTTGCCGTTTTGTTGCGCAGGTAGTTTTGGATAGCAAGAGGAGACCATGAATATAGAGTTCTCTATTCAACCGTGTGGCTTGCCTTTGGTCGCGAGAAACCGTGGGAATGTGGGGGATCTGGTGCCTTAGGGCGCGCGGTGGGGAGCTTACCCCTCTCACGCCTTATCGTCAGCAATCTGTTATATTGCGACACCAGATCTGTATACTTCTTGAGGGAACAACCTCTCCCGAGTTCAGCGCAACATTTATCCAGCCTACGGAATGACTTTCGATATCGCACAGGCCCGGTCTCGCTTTCCGGCACTGAAGCAGGAACAGGTCTTCTTGGACAATGCAGGTGTGTCAAGTTTGCTTTGACACTTCTATCAGTATCAGGAAGCTGTGCTAATCAGCATAAAAGGGGGTAGTCAAGTCTTGGACACAGTGATTGAGTCGTAAGTCTACTCGGATATAAGATCGGACTGCAGCTTAAGCTCCCACCTAGTATTACATCGTACCTCACAAATACCAATGTCCAACTGGGGGCAACGTACAAGACTTCAAAGCTGTCCACCGCTGCATTTACGAACGGATACGAAGCAGCGGCGAAGTTCATCAACGCAAATCCCGATGAGGTACAGATCCTACTCTCAGGGGATGTAGAACCGGCTAACAGTCCCTATAGATCTGCCTTGGTGTTTCAACTACGCAGCTATTGCACAATCTCTCCACGGCTTTGAAGTTCCAGCCGGGTGACGAGCTCATTCTCTCCAAATTGAACCACGAGGCCAATTCCGCCGCCTGGGTCAGGATCGCACAACGACTAGGATTAGAGGTGAAATGGTGGTCCGCTTCCAACCCGCAGAACCCCGTCTGCGATCCGAATGACTTGAAACAGTTGGTCTCGGAGAAAACGCGACTCGTAGCTTGCCCGCATACATCGAATATCCTTGGATCCATCGTGGACGTCAAGGGAATTGCGAAGGTCGTGCATCAGTACCCGCGGGTAAGCTACCACTACCTGCTAACCTAGACCTGATGTAATGCTTACTTGTATTCTTAAGGCCCTGCTCTGCGTGGACGGCGTGGCACTTGCGCCTCATCGCCAAGTCGATGTCAAGGATCTCGATGTCGACTTCTACGTGAGTACATCTTGTATACCGAGACAAAGTCACAGGGGCTGATCATCGCAAACAGGCCTTCTCATGGTACAAGGTCTATGGACCCCACATCGCACAGCTGTACGCCTCATCGCGTGTCCATGACCAGATCGACACCCTAGGCCATTTCTTCAAAGGCACGGACACCCTCGACCTGAAGCTGAACCTGGCGTCCGCCACTTACGAGAATGTCCAGAGCATCCCACGAGTCGTCGAGTACTTCGAGCCTGATGTGTCTGCATTGTGGGAAAAGATCGCCGCTCAGGAGGAAAGGCTGCAGCAGATTGTCTTGGATTTCCTCAACGCTAACGATCGGGTCACTGTCTACGGAGAGCGCTCTGCGGATCGGAACCTCCGTGTCCCCGTTATCAGTTTCACGGTGCGGGGTACCAAAAGCCAAAGAGTGGTAGAGGAGGTCGAAAAGCGATCTGCGTACGGGTTCCGGAGTGGACATATGTACAGTCATCGATTGATCAACGACATCATTGGTTTGGAGGACGTTGAGGATGGGGTGGTGCGGATCAGTATGTTACACTATAATACAGGTGAGTACTTCTATGGCATTGGCAATTCAAGGCTAATATCACGCAGAGGAAGAGATGACTGGGTTGGTCAAGGTTTTGGAGGAAGTTATTGCCAGCTTGTAGACCGCGCAGATGATAAATAGAGTGTGGCAACATACTCTTGGCTAGTCTAGCGAAATTACAACCATACACAATATCAATTGGCCGGATGGTGTAGTTGGTTATCACGTATCGTTAACACCGATAAGGTCCTGGGATCGAGCCCCAGTCTGGTCATTACTTTTTTTGTTCTTACTTTGCTCTCTTATCTTTGTCCTTATCTGTATGCAATTGTATTCATTTTTTTGCACTCATAGATTGCAGTATAGAATTAGGAGAAATAAGCTCGATTGCACGTGTACGGGGCGTATAGTTCCCGCTATAGCAGCCGAGAAAACACATTCAAATTGTCTTTTTTACAGACACACAGAATGTTAGAACGACGACGGATGATGGCAATATATCTAACAATATATATATAAAATGAAACTGAGACTAACCCTTGACCACTACTCAACCTGAAATAAGAGAAATAGATACTGAACTCAACACCCTAAGATACGTATAGTACACCCAAATCAGCTATCCTGACTAAACATGAACGAGTAACCTCCCATAAGACACCCAAACTTAGTCCAAGTAGATATCATTGGCTTTTTTGGGGGCGAGAAGAGAATAAATCTCTGCTGTAGTGTATTTAGATTTATGTATATTCGATACTTCATTGTTCATACTCGTTAGCACGAGTAGATATGTAAATAGACAGACAGACAGAGTCAGAGTACAACACCCAGATCCGTATAACCTCATTCCATAAGCGGTTGCAGAGACAACCATAGTCACATACCAAAATAAAACGCCGCTCTATAAACCCCAATCGCCATTCCACGGTATGAAGAGACACGAGAAAAGAAACCCAAACACCACCCAACACCACCCAACACCACCAAACATCCTCCCAATCCCAGCGCACAGGAAGTCCACAATCACAATCACAACCACAATCACCTCCCCCCACCATTACCACCCCCATCCCTCCCCTGATCCCTATCCCTATTTCCAACACCCAACCCCTCCATAACCCGCTCAACCTCCCCCTTACACCCCGGCACCGCACTCCTCATCTCCCTCGCCAACACATCCCGAAACTCCGCAAACGCCTCCCTCTTCCCCTTCAGATCCTGATTGCCCCGCTGCACCAGCTCCACAAACTCGCGCGTGTAGATATCCGGGTTGCGCGCCGCGTCCACGTAGTCGATGATCTCGGGCGGCAGCTGCACAGAACCCAGATTCGGGTCTCGGGGGTTGCCGACGGGGATTTCTGTGTTGGGGTTTGGGTCGGCGGTGTTTTTGTGCAGCGTGGAGAGGGTTTGGGTTAGGGATTTTCTAGTTCATTATTAGTTAGTTAGTTTGTTGGGTTGTGTTTGCTTCTGGGGGGTTGGATTGGGTTGGGTTTGGTTTGGAGAGGGTACATTTTCCGGACGAGTTCTTGTTGCGTTTCTGGGCCTAGGTAGCCGTGCACTGCGGATTGGATTTCGAAGAGGTGTTGGATTGCTTCTTTT